ATTCCTAAATTGGAAGACTCAACCTAGTAAAGATGTCAGTTCTCCCAAAATTGATATACAGGCTTAATAGAATTTCTATCAAAATCTCAGCAAGAATTTTAGTAGATGTAGAAAATATTATTCTAAATTTTATATGAAAATGTAAAGGAAGTAGAATAAAACAATTTTGAAAAAGAAGAATCAACCTCTTTGACTTCAAAACTTATTAGATAGCTACAGTAGTCAAGATTGACACTATTGGTGGATAGACAGATACCGATCAATCAATAGAACAGAACAGAGAACCAGAAATAGGCCCATATGAATATGCCCAACTAATTAAAAAAAAAAAAATTTAGTAGAGACAGGATCTCTCAATGTTGCCTAGGCTGGTCTCAAACTCCCGGCCTCAAGCAATCCTCCCACCTTGGCTTCCCAAAATGCTGAAATTACAGGTGAGCTGCTATACCTGGGCCCCGCTGATTTTTGATGAAGGCACAATTGCACTTCAGTGAAAGACACAATCTTTTGAACAATTGGTACTGGGACAACTGGACATTTATAGGCAAAAATTGAACAACCTAAGTCTGACACCTTACACAAAACTTAAAATGGGTCACAGGCTTAAATGCAACATGTCAGAATTTTGGAAAGAAAAACACAAGAGAAAATCTTTGGGATCTAGAACTAGACAAAGAGTTCTTATACTTTATACTTAAGTCACAATGAATAAAAGGAAAAATTAAATTGAACTTCATCAAAATTAAAACCTCTTGCTCTTTGAAACACCCTCTTAAGAGGATGAAAAGACAAGTTAGAGAGTGGAAGAAAATACCCCAAATCCACATATCCAACAAAGAACTAGTATGTTAAATATATTAAGATATCTTAAAACTCAACAGTAAAAAAAGTAAATAGATAATTCAATTTTAAAATGGTCAAAAGTATGAAGAGATGTCTACCAAAGAAAGATATGCAGGTAACACATAAGCACATGAAACCATACTCAACATCATTAGCCGTTACCAAAACACAAATTAATACCACAATGAGATATCTACTATACCCCTAGCAGAATGGTTAAAACAAAAAATAATGACAATAACAAATGCTGGCAAGGATGCAGAGAAACTAGATCATGCATATATTGCCAGTGAGCATGTAAAATGGTACGGCCACTTTGGTAAGTATTTTGGCAATTTCTTTAAAAACAACACATGCAACTATTACACGACGCCGCAATTGTGCTCTTGGGCATTTATCTCAAAGAAATGAAGATTTATGTTCACACAGAAACTTTACATAAATGTTTATAGCAGCTTTATTCGTAATAGCCCCAAACTGGAAATATCCCAGAAGTCCTCCTGCAGATGAATGGTTAAACAAACTGGAGTGTATTCGTACCATGCTATACTACTCAGCAACCAAAAGGAACAATTATTGATACACTCAACAGCCTTAATTACCATTGGGATTACAGACAGGAGCCACTGCACCTGGCCCCTAACTATTGTCAAGAGAGGCCTAAAAAATAGACCTAAGACTCATTAAATGATATGTGAACCAACAGAAAAGACATAGAATCAACCCAAATGCCCATCAACAATAGACTGGATAAAGAAAACGTGGTACATATGCACAACGGAATACTATGCAGCCACAGAAAGGAATGAGATCAGCCAGGCGCAGTGGCTCAAGCCTATGCACTTTGGGAGGCCAAGGCAGGTGCATCACCTGAGGTCAGGAGTTCAAGACCAGCCTGGCCAACATGGTGAAACCCCGTGTCTACTAAAAATACAAACCAGCTGGGCACTGTGGCAGGTGCCTGTAGTCCCAGCTACTCGGGAGGCTGAGGCAGGAGAATCACTTGAACCTGGGAGGTGGAGGGTGCAGTAAGCCAA